GGCAGGTGTCTCAGATAATTTTTTAAAGCTTTTTATAGTATATTACATTTTTCTTTAACAGGAGAACCTCCATCGCCGGGGAAATTGGCAACACTAAAAGATGTTCTCAATCGATACAAGTTACAAGTACAAAAGTTATCTACATTGCAAGAAGAAGTTGTTAAAAGGTATTTATTGAAATTTTTTACATATGTCTCCATGTTAAATTATTCTTCATTAACATACGCCTTCTTTTTTAAGATTTACCAGTCTTTTTCTTTCGTTTACGACCTAATATTTTATCATCTAAATAACCTAAGTCTTAATTTTATTCGTAGAGAAGTTATATCTTCAGTATAATTTTTAGTAATGTATATTTAGAATTGTTTGCAACAATACAAATTCCATCTCTTCTTAAAAATAACCAATTAGGTAATATTGAGTTATTGAATAAAAAGTAATTAGCCGTGTATTACTAAACTGCCACCATTTATGGTACACACACATTTAAAAGCTACTAAAGCGACAGTACATATTCTTATCCAAACATTTCCAGGGATAAAAAACTAGAACAACATCGTAAACAGGAATCCGAGCTGCGTTCAAAGATAGAAGAGTACAAAGGTGTCGAGATGCAGCTTAATTCGAAGCTGGCCGTGCTGCACAACAAGCTGGAGCTGGTGGCGGACTGCGGCGAGCGCCAGCTGCTGCACGACTACAAGCAGCACAACCAACAGCTTACTGACGACCTGGAACAAGCTAGAGCTCAACTGAAAGCTGTAAGTTTATATTGATATCTGTACTCAAAGTACTTCTATTGTTAAGAAGAAAATTACTACCGCGCTGTAGAATTGGCGCAACACTAGATTATCGGCATAAATGTCACATCCCTAACTGACAGCTGTCACTGTCATTAGAAGGATGGATATTCGCGCGCATTCCTGACGAGATCTCGAGTGCAGTGTTATAATTAATATCGCTAGTATCAATGAAATAAATTGTTTAAAACTATAGACAATTAGGATGAATTTGTTTTATAATGCAAAAGTAGGGTTTGTTCATTAATTTCAGAACTGTTGAATGGATCTTGGTGTAAAAGCAATATAAGAGCGTAGTATATAGGAGGGCTCACGATTTAATTAGATTTTTTTTCCGTGCGGACGGAATAGTAGGCAACAGCTAGTTAAGTTATGTGTGATGAGTATTTTTTTGTTTAACTCAGACTTAGTACAAATCAAAATTAAACATTATTAATAAGATATTTAATAATGAAAATGGATGGGCATTTGTTACTATGTATCTACAAAGCGACTTAACGGATCTCTCTGAAATTTATCGCACAATGTATATTATTAGTACACGCAGGGTATTATTCGCGTTTCGGACAAAAGCTAATCTATACTTATCTTAGATCTATACTCTATACTTATTATAAGAAAGCGTAAACACACACTTCTTTGTTGCCTAAGATGTCAGCAACTATAGCATATTTTTGAATAATTATTTTTTTAATTAAAAGCCCTACACTTACGTCACGCTTTAGGTTATACATTTTCACGCCATTAAACTTAGGGGAAAAATATTTTGGATAAAAACCCTAATGTGGGAAAGAGACCATAAGTTGCTGCCAACATCAAGGAAGCAAGATTGCCAAGGTTTATCATGTCATGTCGTTTTGACATTTGCTATTGATAATTTGACAAATGTAAACAATAAAATAAAATTTTATGCGGATGAAGCGCAGGAACAGCTAGTGAATAATAAATCTAAAAGATTTCTCGTCTTTTCAGTTGGATTTAAAATACACGGAAATAGAAATGGAGTACGAGAAATTGAAGACCGAGAAGGGAAGCCGCGCCTCCATCGCGCAGGAAGCCAACGCGGAGCTGCGCCGCGAGCTGGAGCGCTGCAGCGCGCAGCTCAAACAAACACTTAGCGACAACGCACAGCTCAAGAATCTATATTTACAAGTATTATTATATTACATACTAGTATTATAAATGCGAAAGTTTAGATGGATGGATGTTTATTAGCGTGTAGCCTAAACTGCTGAACAGATCTCGATAAAATTTGGCATAGATGTAGAGTATAGCCTGAAGGAACACATAGGCTACACTTTTGTTTTTTTTATTCCACGCAGTCGGAGTCGCTGGCGAAAGCTAGTACTATACAATAATCTAATTAATATGATAAATGCGAAAATTTGCATGGATGGTTGTTTGTAGTCTAACGGATAAATGGATCTGTATGAAATGTTACATATTTAGAAGATAGTCTGGAAGAACACATAAGTTACCTTTTGGTTTTTTATTGCACGTAAAGGGAGTCGCGAGCACAAGCTAGTAATGTAATAAAACCGTAAATACACATTTCTTTGTAATGTAAAAGTTTAGATGGACGAATGTTTGTTAGAGTTTGTAGTCTAAACGGATGAACGAACTGAGAGGATGTAGTCTGGAAGAACACGTAGGTTACTCGGTTTTGATTTTTTCTTAATTCCACGGGGACAGTGTCGCGGGCAAAAGCTAGTTACTATTACTAAGAAGAAGGACTACTTTTTTGTATAGAATAGGACCTGAAAATAAAACTGCCCTAAAAAAAAAATTATTACTCGTTTACTATTGTTCAAAACAACACTAGAACATAATTTATCTTTAGGTGTGTAGCACACGAGATGCGGTCTCTAGAGAATTGAAGGACAATCAAATGAAAATACAAAAAGAGAGGGAGATGTACAAAACACAAGAGAGGGAATACATAGAGAGGATAGAGAGGCAGAAGATGGAGTTGGAGAAGGCGGCAAATGATCTGACGAACGCGAGAGAAGAATTAGACAGAGCTAATAAGAGAATATCGGAACTACAAAAAGAGTTTACTGATAAACAGAAAGAGTTTACTGAAAAATTAAATAAATATCTAGAAGGTGAGTGATTCAGTAAAAGTTTATTCTTAAAGAAGAAATTCCGTTCTTTTTACATATGATATTTTTTCATAAAAGCCATTTAAATATATTTGAGTAATTTTTTTTAGATGAAAAGAGTGCAATGAGGAAAGAAATCCCGTGCCTTCAATGCGAGAAACTTCTGAAGCAAATCAAATATTTGGAGGAACAACTCAACAAATGCACACTCAAATTGTGTAAGTTTTTATTATAACACTATTATACATAACTATAACTTTATATTTATTAAAGTTTTAAATCCACAGTTATACTGAATTCAATTTTTACATCTATTATATTCATATACCTTTTTCACTAACCCCACTTTTATTCCTAAAAAAGCTGTAAATAATATCCACTGGCGCGATCGCACTGGCGATTGACATACTAAGTCGATCTCGAATAGTTACTGGAAATAGGGTTTTATGCTAAAAACATAAAACCTCTTTTTCACTGCACAACAGCTCAGTCGCTCAGTGCAAAAGAACTTTAATACTAAATGTGTTTGTCTAGTGAAAAATAATTTTAATATTTAGTACTGTTTCTAATTTCTTAGTAAAAAAGGTCTTTAACAATAAATGTGTGGCTATTATTCAGTAAAAAAGAGCCTTAAATAACTTATGGTTAGTGAAAACTGAACTTTACATTGCAAACTGTATCCAGCAACGCAGGAAAGCAGCGAGACGCTGATGAAGGAGCTGAAGGGCAAGGCGGAGTTCTTCCAGCAGTACATAGTAGAGCGCTACCAGCGCCTCGTGGACCAGCGCTGCGTCGCCACCAACACTGACCACAATGAACATACTGACCATACTGACCACACCAACCACACAGACCACACCACACATCAGTCACATGATGATGATATCGCAGCCAAGGTAATCAGTACCCTAATCATCTATACTGATATTATAAAAAATAAATTTGTATTTTTTGACGTATTTCCATAACTCATTTTTTTGATTTCACGCGGACAATGTCTCCAGCAACACGTAGTATACATGCGAAATCGGTCATTTATTTTCAGTTAGAATTTAATAATGTCACCGTAAAAGTTAATCTAAATCTAACTGTATTTGTGTTTTTAAACCAATCTATGTGTGATATAAGGTGCATGAATCCTATTTCTAGTAATTAGTATACTCTCGTTTGATTGAAAATATAAAACAATTATTTCCAGACATCAGTTATGATGAGGGAAAAAGCCATAAGAGAACAACTTGCGGAGAAATTTACATTAGAAATGAAGACAATGGAAATGAACTGCACAAGACGCATTCAAGAATTAGAAGCAGAACAGACAACAACAATCAATAAACTAAAAGAAATGTTAGAAAGAAAAGCGCACGAAGTTGAAACATTAAAAGAATTCATTCTATCAGAACGTGCGAAAGTGACAGAGATATTGGAAGCGAAAGAGAAGGAGATATCAGTACTGATAAAAGAACACAATGAATTAATAAACGAATGTCAGAAAGCAAAAGATAGTAGTATCGAATGGAGATTGAAGGCGGAAAGATATAAAGAAAGATTAACGAAACTGGGGTCCTTAGAAGACATGTTAAAGAAGGAGAGAGAAGATTGGAAGAAGAAGACGAACGTATGTGCGTCAGAGTGGCAGGCGCTTAAAGTGAAAGTGACGGAATTGCAGGAGCAATTAGCACAACAAGAACAGACTTATGCTAAATTACAAACTGAATATCAAAGTATACAAGACAAGTATAAGAATGCTAAGAAAACTGTGTACACTTACAAGGTACTTTTTATACAAGTAATGCCTCGCGGTTTAACCTTTTACAACTTGTAAACTTTTCTTTTAATAAGTTTGTTGAGTGGAAGAAATAGACTAAATAATTTGCTAATTTTTAACTAAGCTAATAACATTTTTTTCTGAGATTGTTCATGCATTTTTTTAATTACGTTCGATAATAATCTGGAACAAGCAAACAAATATTATCTTTCTTTAGGTCAAGACTTCGCTTTGGTGGAGGTACAGGCCTTACACTCTTTAATAATCGACATCATTTTCAGGATTATATGTCTAAAAAAGACGCTCACATTAACAGTGAGATAAACAGAATACAAGATGAATATAGGAAGATATTTGTGAAGCTGCAGAATCAAATCAACTATCACATCAACTGCAGAATACAAGAGGATAGGAACAGAGGGAAACGCACACCGGCACAACAATATCCAGAATATGATGTAAGTATTCATAATCTACTAAAATAGATGATCTACAGATCAGTTCTATTTGTACTTATAGAGATATGACTGCAAGTCACAGGGTTTTATCTAAAGACATTTAAAAAATATATAGACTAGACATAGTAATATTTTCAACAGTAACTTCTTTTGAAGGTACTATGTTAGTTGTCAATTTTAGTACACCACCTCATGTCCTTGTGTTAAAACATTTTACAAAATTATAATAAGTCTTTAGTTACAGGATAAATTAAACAATGTCACAAAATAAAAACATAAACACTTATATAAGATTTAGTGACACCTATTGGCAATTCAAATACAATTACTTATAAGGATCAATTAATAGTGTGTGAGGATCATGTGAAAAATGTCTCAAGTGAAATGTCAACTATGCTTCCTCTATATGGTTTTTGAATCTCTTTGGTTTTATCAAGGGGGGGGGAGCAGGGGGAAGGTCAGCCTACATGTACTGTGGATATGTGTGATTATTTTATTCCAGTTTTAATACATTTCTATATATTTTTTAATGTCTAATAAAACCATTTAAGTTTAATTATTAATTTTATTATTTCAGTGTACAGAAATGATAAATAAATTGAACGAAGACTTTTCTCGTCTCGCTCAAGATAACTTCAAAGAGGGTCAAAGTAAGTGACACAGACAGACTGTTACCTCTTTATTTCATGGATGTCATCCATTTTGTGTAAAAAAAGAAATGTTTTTTTTTAAATCCTCTCTAATTAAATGGGACCAAGAATTAGGAAGAATTGTACTTAAAATTATTGTAAGACTGTCTGCCCCATTCTAACAGGATCTATTTAAGTATTATACACTAAGTGTACCCTTAATGGTAAATTAATGACTGTGAGTGGGATTGTATGATAATGTCGTTAAAAATTGTGTTCCATAATAATGACAATATAACTTGACTTTTTACATTGTTTTGTATAGCCTGGTGCTAACGTTTAGGGTTTTGAAAAGGTTAGGGTCTATTTCCATTAAACGTATAATTTCATTTTAATTTTTAATACAAATTAAATAATAATATTTGCATTAAGTCCTAAGTCCGTAGCTAAGTTAACTACGCGAAAGGCCCAAAAAAAATTTCTTATGTTCATCTGTTTTTTTATAAATAACGAGTGCGTAAAATATTGAGATCGAAAATGTTTCTTCATTTGATGTATATTAATTAATTTGAAAGAGAGGTGTGTCAGAACCGCGCTAAATGGAGGTCCGTGGTCTGCCTACCCCTAGGGTTACGGGCGTGAGTTATGTTGTTGATATAAATAAACTCAAGTTATAGGTTTTTATTTAATATTTCATTACAGAATGTCTTTGTTAGGTGTTTAAGTATTTTTTGTAATTTGATCATTCTGAGAAATTTTTCGTAAAAAAAAAAACTGTAAAATTATTTGTTATATTTTTATGTACTTATATAATATCAGTGATAGTATAGTATGTTGATAATTAATTCCTTTTTATAATATTCCTGTGATAGTGAAGTACACATTGTATTGTAATGACCAGTATTAGAGTGCGAAATATACATTCCTTACTATTCCACGCACGATTCCCTTATATTGAATAGAAGTTAAATGTTCTAAACATGGTTTTCTCGAATTTGTTATTGCTCAATTGTTAATTTGCAAATTGTTAAATCTAGTATATATTATGTATCAATTTTGGTAATATCTCTTAGTAGTATTTTGTATCTTATTTCGTAATTAGGATAGTGTAATAAAATAAAGATATATTTTAATGATTTTTTTATTTCTTCACATAATACTTAGAAGGTACAAACGGCATTTTAGCTACCACGCAGGGTACATCTTTACCGCGTATGTTGACTAATAATTCAGTATTAGATTTCTTGAATTGTTCGGCAACATACCCCATAGCAACATTACCCCCTAGTGACGGACTAGGACATCCACTAGTCACTTTCCCAATGTCTTTCCCTTCCTTATTTTTGAGAACCGCATCTTTTCTTGCTGGTGCACCTTTTTCTATCCTTATACCTACACGTCTTTTATCCACTCCTTCTTTTATTTGTCTCATAATAACACTAGCTCCAGGGAAATTGGCCTCACCTCGACGTCTTTTAGCTACAAGCCAGGTCAGATTCGCTTCCACTGGTGTGATTGTCTCGTCAATATCATTCCCATATAAGCATAAACCGGCTTCAAGTCGTAGGGAATCTCGAGCACCCAAGCCTGCTAGTTTTACATCGCGGTTTTGTAATAAAGCTTCCGTTACTGTGGTCGCTTTGTCTGCTGGTATGGATATTTCCACTCCATCTTCACCAGTATACCCGCAGCGAGTCACGCGACATTTGATTCCAGCAACGTCTCCGATAGTAGACGTCATAAATAATAAATCAGCAAGTGGTATGTTTGTTAATGATTGTAATGCTGCCACTGCTTTAGGACCTTGTAGCGCAATAAGAGCTCTTTGACTAACATCTAAGAAATCCACTAACAAATCTTTACCAGACTTTTTAAATGCTTCCGAAGTCTCTTGCATGTGTTGTTTATCGACTTCCATTCGTCCAGCATTTGATACAATGTATAGTTGATCTTCTTTTACTTTAGTGACGATCAAATCGTCGATGATTCCTCCATTGTTATTCAGGAATACAGTCAAAGAACTACTTCCATTGACCATACCTTTTAAATCTACAGGACAAATCGACTCGAACCAAGAAACGCAATCTTTGCCGTAAACATTCGTTTGTAACATATGTGATACATCGAAAATAGATGCACTGCTTCTGGTAAATAAGTGTGAGGTTGAAACACTCATATCCGAGTATTGCACCGGTAGCAGAAAACCAGCAAAATCAACCACTTTCCCTCCATATTTTTCGTGCAGATCGTATAAAGGAGTTTTCTTTGGTTTCACAGAGTTATCACTATATGCACGATTGTTTAATATACTAATACACCATTTCAAATTCGATTGCTTTGTAAAAAGCACGCGCGTTAAATTTTGAGAGCACATCTTAGTAATTACGTTGACACATTTGTAGCAAAGAACAGTTGGATCACATCAACACTTTATCAAACTTTCGTAAGTAGAGGTCTAAGTTCAGGCAATTGAGTAAATAAATTAGTGATAAGGAAATTAGTTCATTGCCTTTGCATTCATTGCAACTAACTTTTTATTATTAAAGTTACAACCTCTTAGAAAGAAATTTAATTTGAAATATCTGAAAACATTAGATTGAATTTTTACAAATAAACTTTTGCTTTTACAACCTGATTCTGTTTAAATAAAATCACTATCTTAGTTGTTTCATGAGTAAAGTACTGACTACTTGGTCAATCACAGTTTACTGTACACAAAACTACAGACTTGTTTGCTTATACTCAAAAGGTCAACTCTTAGGAAATCCAAGTGTTTCTGTATTAACCTCAACTCTAATGTTAAACAATGATTCACTTGCTGTGGCACTTCACTTGGAATAAAAGGAAACAAAGCAAATACAAAAAATTAATTACTTTATTTAACAATCTATTTTCTACTTACTATCAACAACCATTGAAAGTTTTAACATACTCTTCATGATTTAAAAGCTCACTTTTTGTTGAATCAGATATTGCAATACTGGACAACATAATTGCAATAAAACCACTAGAATCTGGCTGTTCCCTTAATAGTTCAGGTTTCTTAGCTAATTCTTTATTGACTTCTATAAGTGTACCCTTCATGCAGCATGGTATATCAAATGTTGTGCCGTCATCATATTCTACTTTACAAATAACAGAATTTGGAGTTAACATTTGTCCACCCTTCTTTCCTTTGCCTTTTACAGTGTTTGTTAATCTATCAATATTGCCAACATTAAAATTAATTTTGTATTGATCACTTTTCTTGAAAAAGAAATGACTCGGTGCAAGACTCAATAGTGTTATTCTGTTTGAGTGGAACATAAGCATTATATCATTGTTTGCAATTCCGTTAGCATTTAATACATATCTTTTGCTAAAGTAACGGTCGGTAAAGGATTTGAAATGGGATAAATCTTTTAGATTAATCGACTGAAGTATGTCATATTCCATTTTTTTCTTTTTAACTATTGCTTAGCCTGTTGTTGAGCTAATATCCGATTTCTAATTTCGGCATGTCTTCTTATAGATTCTTCGTGGTTTGCCTTTTGACGTCTTATACGTTCCCCTTTCAAACACTTTCTCATATCCCTATCAAAGTCGTTGCAATAACCCAGAAATTTTCGGAAGGAATGCTGAAAAAACAATGTAAGGTTAGTTTATAAAATATCAATACTTAAGAAAGAGAAGACCTAAATGATAACAAAGGTGCTTTATTCTGAGAATGTTATTTAGTAAAATGTAAAATAACATTTTATAACTGTACTAACCTCAACATGACAATCTTGTAATTTTTTTATTAGGATATTGCACTCATGAGTATGCAAGTGAGGTGATAAATCAGTATGCATTCCGATTTTAAATATTATGTAACTAATTAATTATGTTAAATATAATATCTCAACCAATGTTAGCAAATTAAAATCTTATCATATTTACGAGAAAAAGTGTCAGACTTACATTTATTATTGACTTCTTTCCAATATAGATTATAAAAAATATTTGTGTTTGTGCTTTTTATTTATTATCTTCACAATACTGATTGAACACTAACTGGCGCCAGTGAGTCCATACAAACCATGCCTGACCTGCGCTACTGTTCACTGTTCAACGGTATTGGTTAAGTGTGAACTAGGCATAACATCAAAAAGCGCGTTTATGTCGGAACGAAAAAAAAGCTGTCATTTCCAAGAAATCGCCTTTCCATTTATACAGATCAGTGCTTCACGTGTTGTACAGCGAGAGCAAAGGAGAAATTTTAAAAGTTATACCTTTAAGCTGCAAAATACAATGTATGTATGTAAATGCATTTGTAGAAATTGTACAAATTAAAACTGTAGTTACTATGTCAAGTATAATTCAAAAACTATTTTTCTCATGTCTTATAGTCCTGTTTGTATGGGTCTAGACAAATCAAACTAAGAGATGTTTTAAGGTTTTTGCGCTATATTTATGCATTGTTGTGTGTTTATGTTTAAAAATAAATGAATAAAAGTCCATCGTCAATCATCAATGCTAATGTTGAATCTAGCGAATCTAGTTAAAATTTTAGGGATTTAATTTCACTGTTAAATTTAATTTTGATGTTAGTTACAAAATAACAACCACTACCCTTTTTATTTATTTTATTTAACTTATTAATCATAAAATATCCATATTGCGCCTCCACAAGATGAACCATGGCAGAGACCGCATTAATACATATGGTACTTAGACCTAAATTCAAGGAACTCGCCCCAATAAATAAATAAATTAACAACGTTTTCACTAACAAACTTTAACATAATGACTAGATATAAATCATAGAATTTTGATAATCGTGTTAAAAAGGAAACTGGAAATTGGCTTGCATCTTCTATCTTGAATATTACACTCATGAAAAATATTTAAAACATTCGACACGACATCATTCACGTAAAAAAAGAAACAGGAACAAGCAAGTATTTAAGCAAAGTAATGTAACAACGAACGAATACGAAATGCGATTTTTAAAAGGAAACTTTTTTAACAAATGTGATTTGACGCCAAATTAGATAAAGAAATGCATAATGTGCCCAAAAATAATTATCTAATACCAATTTGCTAAAATAAAAAAGCAGGCGTTACAAGGTGAGGGGTTAATTTGTCTCAACTTTTGGGCATGCCCTGGGGGGTAGCGGTCTCCACCATCTTCTTGTATTTGCCGACGAGCTCGGGCAGGTCGTAGGCGATGGCGACATCGAGCCGCGTGATGGGACAGCCGCGGAAATACGTGCACGTCGCGGACAGCTGTTGGAACTCATAGAGGGGATTGAGTCTGAAGAAGTCCCTGTAGGTTTCGGGATCGGGAAGATCGTACCTGAAAATACAGTATTAGTAATAAATAATTTCAACGAAAAAAAACATTGTATTGGACGGAAAGACTGAAATGTTTCAACTTAAAATATTTAAACTACTTTTAAACAATTTTTTTTTATTTCATGCTTGAAACAGTTTTCATAAAATGTCTTACCTAGAAATGTTTGTCAATGTGCTCAGGCCCTCGTAAATGTGGTAGTTCTGAGGGTTTTCTATGATGGCGTCAGCAATCAGTTTCCTGTTGCCGAAAATGGTCTTGTGGTTGTAATAGGTCGTCAGATAACAGTCGACCATTTTAGCGTGGTTTCTTACTCGGACCTGCGGTTTTATACAATTTTAATTAAATTCTTTCAAAATTATTTGTCTTTTTCAAAATACAGATTAGTAAAACGAACAAATAAACGAATTAACAGCCTTATCATTACATATTCCCTAACTTACAATAATAGACCTATGGTATCACTGCAGACTTTTCCTGACCATTATTATTCTCAGGCTATTCTAGGTATAGACAAACAACTTTCATCATTTATTACATGTCTTTTACTCACCGCGAATCTTCTTGCGCTGGCGATCTTATTCTCGATACGTCTGTCAACAGCCTGACGCAGATCTCTCAATAACTCCCGTTCCTGAGCCTGAAGTAACCTTGCTGGCGCACTCGCGTCGAACGGCATTGACCACAAGGACACAGTGTACATGACGGGAGGCTGGGCAGAACTCATCAACGGCGATATGTTCCAGATCAGAGCGCTCTGAACTCGCATCAGTTCCTCAGGTTTAACTGTATCAGCTTTGTTAAGGACGATACGTGTCTGGAACAGCAAAAAATATTTTATCATTACACTTTTTGTGTGATATGGAAAATTATTTTTTGAATACGTATTGGCGACTTTTTTACAGAAGGCAACACTGACACATACAACTTTTTAAATTGGTCTTTTTTTAATTCAATTAGAATATGAAATATTTGGATTTAAAAAAAAATAGGTTTTACCTGAGATTCTCTACCCTTAAGTTGATCGAGTATAGCTTCAGTTTCAGGTCCGACGTCGAGCTTGGAAGGATCGTAGACGAGGAAGATGATGTCTGCGCGGTCGATGAACCACTGGCAGGCGTCGTTGAACGGAAACACACGGGACACTTGCTTCCTGACTTCCAAAATGCCGGGAATTTCAACAATATTAACCTGAAACAAGTAAAACGTAAGTTTATTGTATTAAATAAATTATTTATTGTCCAATTTATCACCCCAATTTATTCCAACGCACTGGCATATGCGAGATTTATTACTTTAAGCAATTGATTACCTTTTCTAATAGTTTACTTGGGTATTTGAGACCTCTAAGGCGCTCCTCTAATCCTTGGCCGAACTTTTGCAATCCGGAAAATGTCCAATCCGCTGCCAGTTGAGTACCGTCAAGTACTTCAGGATCTTTACCGTGCATCAGAATGTTAAAGTAGGCTGGTGAGGGTTCAGCGCCTAAATTCCACATAAAAATTTATTAAGTGTTACCATGTTTTGTAAATTAAATCAATTTAAAAACAAACAATTACCAGTTCTCAAAGACCACTCAGTGAACTCTAAACCGGTTAAATAGTTTAAAATACTCGACTTTCCTCCGCTCCATGGTCCCATGAATAATACTAAAGGCTTAGAAAATATTTCTGGATCACCAAAGTGTCTGTTACTTAAGTCCCTGTATTTGTAAACCCCTTCTAAAGGCTTTATGGAATTCTCGTAAACTCTCTTCAAATCCCTGAGAATGATATCTGCAGATTTTTCAATGATTAGCTCCGCCTCGCTGGCCTCTTCGTCTAATCTCAATATCTGAATGATATGGTCACGGGATCTTAGATTCTCCGGAATTTCTTCTGTCTAGAATAACATGAATGAAAGAATATTATATGTATGTATATTTAAATGTTTAATAAACAAACCAGTTAATTTTTAATGTGTCTTTCTTATATAAAGCTACACAAACTGTACAGTAATAAAAAGCACACTAGTAACTTTTTAGATCTCTTAAAAAGCGTATTTAAATATTTTCCCATACAAATATTTGTTCATAACATACCTTTAATAATTCTTCCTCTGGCAATTCTTCTCCTGAATCGGTGTTTTCTTTGTCTTCATCAGAGGCTTCTCCGTCAGCTTCTGCTGACTTATCTTCTTCGGCCTCTCCTGACTTATCTTCTTCGACCTCTCCTGACTTGCCTTCCTCATTCTCTCCTGACTTGTCACTTTCCGCTTCGTCAGATTTTGCAGATTCATTTTCAGTAGCTTCATCAACCTCGGCTGATTTCTCTTCACCGTCGTCACTACTATCAGTAGATTCTTTGCCAGTTTCTTCAGACTTCTCATCATCTGCCTCTTCCGCAGGAGTTTCTTCGGAATCTGCTGTTGAGTCAGATTCTACTTTATCTTCTACTTCAGTTTCAGCCTCAGTTTCGTCGTCCTTTTCTTCCTTTGATTCTTCATCATCCTTTACCTCTTCAGAACCACTGTCTTCCTTGTTTTCCACGTCTTTTTCATCAGATTCAGCCTTTTCTTGAGATCCGTCGTCTTCCTCGTCTTTCCTATCTTCTTCATTGCTATCGTCCGTTTCAGCATCTGCACCTTCTTCCTTCGAATCATCAGCTTCTTCAGTTTTATCCTCTGCTGTATCTCCTTCTTTACTTGTTTCTTCACTTTCCTTACCTACTTCTTCTTCTTCTTGACTTTCGGCTTCAGTTACTTCCGATGAATCATCTTTTTTGTCTTCTTCACTTTTATCATCATCAGTTTCAACCTCGTTTACCTGTTCTGCGCTTTCGCCACTTTCTGTAATTAAATAAAGGTTAAAAATTATTCTTATTTTAATCTGACCTCTTAAATCAAATTAACCACTTGCTTAATTACCTTTTTCGGCATTTTGTTCATCAGCAGATGCTTGTTCTTGACTGTCTCCATCGTCTTCCTTGCTATCAGCGTGTTCTTCCGCACTGACGTTGTCATCAGCTTCTGCTGTCGTATCTTCCTTCGAATCATTGTCTTCTGGACCTGCTTCATCTTCTTCAGAAGCTTGAGACACGTACGGTTCATCTGCGACTTCGACGACGGGAACATCCTCTACACTGCTTTCATCTTCTTTGCTTTCTTCTCCAGTTTGGTTTTCAGGCTCTTCTGCGGAATTTATTTCCTTAGTGTCATCATCTATACTAACTTCACTGGAGTCGTTTTTGCTTGATGAATCTGCAATAATGACAATTATGCTAGAACAATCGATAACCGATTATAAGGAGTGACTGAGCCTTATTATTGAAAAAATATAATACTAGTCGTGTCTACATTTCATAGATCTATGTGTATAAACATTCATTTACAAAATTTTTAAGAAATTTTAAAAACATTTTCATTCTCAAAAATGTTTTTATGTCTTCTATTTCATGTAAAATAGTTCATAAAATAGTTGATAGGATACAATTTGATCACGATAATCACTAATATGTTACGCAAGATATCGAACTGGTTAATCTCAAGCCATATGATTACGTTCTAAAAGTAAAACTTGTCATGGGCTAATATACGACATAATAATTACGCAACGAAATAATTATTGTGACTCGTTTGT